AATGTGGCGGTGGATAGTGGCGTGAGGATGAATTGGTCCACCTCCAGGATGAACGTCGACATGAATGACATCACGGGTGACTGGTTCACCAGTCCGCCTGTAATCTGCACCGGAATCCAAATCTGTTCAGACTTCATCGGAAAATAAAGTCATATTTTAAAAATTAAGAAGTGTATTCATGTTCAATAAATCTCATGCTAACTCATTATGCTCTTTGAGGATTCATTCCTAAGGTGTGGGCAATGTAAATAATGACATTTTCAAATTCATTCCCCAAAATGGCAAAAATTGGTGAAGATAGCATCATTTATGTGGGGGGGGGGGGGGGGGGGGGGGGGGGGGTTCCACTGGGCTCTGTCTTGGGGTCCGCATATGTTTGTTCATCGCATTGTCTCTTCGGGCATCGGTTCATGTCAAGTTTTTGACGTGTTATTCGCGTTGCCCATCTGACCAGTCCATGAGGTAAAATTAGGTCATTTGTTTTTGAATAACCCCTGGAAATGGACAAATCTACTTACACACATCAATGTACTTCCTTTTCTGGCCTGGGTTTATGAGACTTTTTGTGGATCTACTCGTTTATTGACATGCTTTCTAAATTTTATGGAACAAAGTAAAACTGCTTTCAAGGGCTGAGTTAAAAAGACCAAAATAATAATAATAATCGGCATTCCAAAGGCTCTCTTTTGGGGCCCCCCTCATCCATTCCACATTTGCTTGATCGCTGCATCATATTTTTTCCTACATTTCTGCTCCAAAACAATTGTAAACAGAATAATGTCCCATTGCCTGGTAAAGGTTGCCACTCCTTGTGTCTTTGAGGTCAAGCCTGATAGCAATGTAGTCAATATCAGGAGATGGAGGAGTCATATGCTGGTATTTCAGCCCCATCAGCAGGAAGTCCTCGCAGGGAACTTTGAGAAACGTGACAAGCTTCACTCCCTTCAGGCAGACGCCAGAATTACATCTCACCGGATCTGTAAAATTTGATTTCACGTTAGTTTTGAGAGCCATCGCAGGGAATGCTTTCAGCACAAATGCCAGTACCCTCAATGTAGCGCCGTGGCTCATCCCCTCTCTTGACAGCTTCCTCGGGCTTTCCAGTAACGAGTTGCCCATGAGCTGGCAGGTGAGTGTCATGGCTATTGAGATGGATGCTACACTCTAAGCTGGACCGCTTTTCGTAGTGGAAGGACAGCACATTGCCGTCAACGTCCGCAGAGATGCCATAAAATGGAACTTGCAAAAATTGAGGTCCAAGCTTGATGATACTGCAGTCGGGTTCCACAATGTCGACGTGGAGAGAAAACACCTCAGTGTAGGTGTCAGTCTCCGTGAACCTGATTGCAAACACAGGGTGGTTATTATAAAGCCGGTCAATTACAAACCATTCATCACAGACCACATAACAATCAGCAATGTAGCTGGTCCATCATAGGGGAACCACGATATAGCAGAGCAGCACTGTACGCATTGAGGTGACGTACCGATACAGCCGAAGCTTGACTGTGTCCTCCGTTAATAGCGGCGAGCCATTATGGACGTACTTGACCTCATTCTCTCGATAATGGCAGTTAAATACCTGGAAAAAAGGATGAAATAAATGCGATGGTAAACACAGTTGAGCCTCTTTTACATGGAGATCCTGCAAAAGTGTATCTATTTATTCACATGGAACTCAACAAATGGCAGCAAAGGATGAATCGAGTCTCCGTGTCTGATGTTCCGTTACCTGAGGCAAGAATTTTCCCACTCGTTGCGTTATGGGCTCATTTAACACCACTTCCACTTGGCATGCATCCTTTGGAAGCGGGAGAAGGAAGTGCAGGTCACCTTCCTGGAGGTAGGACGTCTGACCCCGTCTCACCTTTAAAGCCTTGTTGACTTTTACAAGGGAAGCGTTGCAAGTCATTTCGAGAACCAGGAGAGGAAGCCACGCCAATATTTGACCCTTCATTGTTCTTCCAGTCTGAACAGGTTGACTCTGTTCAAGCGTCCTTTTCAGCTTTCGCCCTCAAAAAAGGTGATCAAGGCGCTTTTGGTCGTCGAGGTGAAGCGGCATCGTTTCAGGGAATGCGCGGGTTTAAGCTCTGAGTATTTCTGTGGGAGGGAAAAAAAAGGTCAATAGGGTGAGTGCAAAGTGAGAGGTTGGTGTCATCAAACATTGCAATTTATCGCACCATGGATCGTCCATGTTTACAACATTGATGCTATACCGTAAAAGCTAACAACACAAGATCATATATCGGATATGGCTCAGTCAGAGATATGATTCATTACATTACTGACATTTGATTGAACACAACATTTAGCCTCTGACCGGATAAAGGTTGTCAACCCTTGTCATCACGCCAGAATGACACCCTTCACAATGAGTCCTTTTAACCGGGCAGGCATCTTGTACCGTAATTAGCCTAACATGCTTCGACTTGTCCCAGTGAACAATTCAACCTTTATTACGGGAAAGTACCATAGGGAACCAGTGTCAAAAATATTTTGCCCGGTGCTAAATAAAACTGAAATACAGTAGGCTTCGCTGCAATATCGATACTAGATGCAGATTTGCAGATACTGCGCTGTACTATAAAAAAACAAACAAATCTAGTTCGCCTCAGTCATGTGCCTCGAGTCCCCGCCTCTCCCCACTGCCCACCTGTCCAGAATCGCCAACAAATACAAATGCGTTCATTCCCCTCCAACATTTCTCCTTGGCTGAGGTTTGCGCTCGACCGGCTGGCATGACATGATACGACTGCCGCAACAACGTGGTGTCACAAATCAAAAAGCTTTACCGACGACATGGCAGTGGAGGAATGTTAAGTGTCCATGCCACCAAGCGGCTTGGTTCCGACCGGAAGCTCCGCGGCATCCTTTTCACAGCGTCTCTTCTTGCCTTGATAATGACAGAGTCCTTTGCAACCGCCACTTACTTCCCAGCAACTATCATTTGGATGCACAAACGCAACACTGTTACACAAGAAAAACTAAAGAAAGAGTTCACCAAATCCCCCTCTGCATGACTTAATAGCTGCAACAAGTAAGTACTCGAAGCATATGAATATCACTGAAAACTCATCTTTCAACGTCACCTTCAAAAATAAAAAGCTCACATTTGATTCGATTTTGGAAAAGTGCACATGCGGCCAAGTCTCTGTGTAACTTCCAGTAACAACCCAGGCTAAACTTTGCTTCTTTCCGACATACAAAGATCTCTGCTAACATACAGACGACAAATCAAAATCACGATTGACTGTTAACTCTTATTAAATAAATAGATTTTATATATATATATATATATATATATATATATATATATATAATATTTTTTTTAATCTCACATACACCAAAAAATAAAAAAACAAATTCTCGGTCCATGAAGTGAAAATGGATCGTTTCTCGTCGTTCACCTGATAATCCCTCGCCCAGGGCTGTTTTGTGGTGCATTATTAAGCAACACATGCCTTAAAAAACGGTAAACAACCTCATTTAAATTTTTTTCAACTTTTTTACATTCAGAAAAATAAATTGAATTACTATTGCGGATATTAGAGAATTGTGGTAAAATCCACACTTGCTATGAGTGTATGTATGCACCTATAAAGGATTTAAGAAGCAGACTAAGGCATTTGCCCAAAAAAAGAGAAACAAACGAAAAACGAAACTCTTCAGTTATCGACATGTCCTTACCTGCGTGGCACCTCCTTTTCTGCTGCATTGTTCGCCCAGCCTGCTCTGCTGCTCAGCTCTCCGACACCTCCAGCATTTGGTTTGGGCCACAGATTCAAACTCCACCTCTGACAACGGGGCGGGAAGCTGCTGAGGGGCCAGACTATTTATTTTGGGGAGGTGGGTGGGGGGGGGGCATACATTGTTCAATGTTTTGGGGCTTTTTAAAACTGATGAGCATTTGAATTATTTTGAGAATTGCACTATGATTAAATTAAATATTCCCATGTGTTTGCATGAACTGTACAAATATATAGATTTCATTGTATTTGTTTGTGTTAGACTTCATTTTGGTTTTCATGTAGGAATATCTATACATTTTTACTTAGTGCTGTGATCTAATGACAAGTCATTTATTTTTAGAAGAAGCATTGACTTAAGTTCTGCTACTGGTCTATAAATCAATGGTTCAGGTCACGACTACATTTGTGCGCTGAGGTCTGCAGACTCCAGTTAATTAGTAGAGTCAAAGTAAACAGGGTGATGCAGTATTTAGCTGTTATGCTGCACCGAAATGGAATAAGCTGCCAACAGAAGTGAAGTCAGCGCCAAGTGTAAATACATGCTTTTAAATTGAGGTTAAAACTATGCAAGGTTTGCAAGTGTTTGCAAGTGTGTGTACACCTAGCCAATATTCTTTTGTCAGTGTTCGTTCAATTTTGCAAACCTTTCCAACAATTTGGATGATCTCAAACAGATTTTTGTGTTGCAAAGAACTTCAGGACATGTTCAAATTTGATGGCGACAACTCAACTGTATTTATAGAGCACTTTCAAACAGCCATCGCTGCATACAAAGTGCTGTACATGGAGCAACTAACATATACAACAATACAAACCACATTCACTAGGCTGTTAAATTTCAAATGACACTTTCATGGAGAAATGACATTTTTGGATGCCGGTTACATGCACTACAATGTACTTACAAGAAAAACAGTTTGCAACCATTAAAACAGTCTGAGAAAAAACAACATTCGCTACGTGCGAACAAACTTGCAAACCTGTGCTGTTCAGAGAGATACGGGCTTAAATGCTTTCAAATGTACTTTTAATTTGCCACCCATCTGGAACACTGCAACAAATTTGAAAACTCACCCAAAATGAGTGAGGGGTGCCGGACATGAACACTGCTCTCATTTTTGCTCGTGAATATTTTTATTGCCATGTGCTGTTGGTTGTTTCTGCGAAAATTTATTCAACTCGTGGATTAATTTCTTTCAGGACACTTTGTGTCTGCATCGAAATGCAACTCTTCAACAAAATCTGCAATTATTTAGTTTGTCCAAGTGGAGTTGCCGTACAACTTCCGCTACAGATTACTTCCGTATGCAGTTTGGGTAACCGCGACGTCAAACGCTGCTTTTCGTGACGAGGTACAGCCTACACATCACTACCTGTTTGGCGTCATTTGCCACGCATGGCAAGCATTCAACTGTGTTCTTAATTCAGTGCTTTCTTTTCAATGCGAGACGAAGCAGTTCGAGTCTTAAACCACTTCGGGGCTGCCCCCAGCAGCACGTATTATGTAATTTACTTTGGCAGTCCAAATAACTTTTAACACTACCCCGGGTGGGGCAACTTTATTATGCCCAAAGTTGCATCACGAAGCCGTTGTTGCCATTCTATTAAAATACAAAATGTGACTTGGACAAGGCGGCTAAGGCTAACCGACGGCCGCGGTGCAGACTTTAGACTTTGACTAGGTATACATAAAGGTCAACATTATATAAGTGGGGACAAAACATACATTATTGTACTGCGGGATTAAAAGGGAGTGAGAGAAATGAAAGCGTTTTATATGTTATGTCAAACGTCAACTGTCTGAAGTCACCTTTAATGTACTTAAATGACACTTTTATTATTGATGGGATATGACAAGAATAAAAGCAATACCAAAATGGTTTCCGTAATATGGCGTCACATATTGCGTCAAAAAACAGGCGTGGCCGTGAGCTGGTCTTGTTTGCACACACCCGCTAAATTACGAGGTCCTTTCTGTCGTTTAGTTACAAGTAATCAAATTACAAGTACATATACTCTGTTACAGTACTTGAGTAGATTTTCCCAAGATATCGATACTTCAAGATTTGTTTTTTTTTTTTTTTTTTTAATCAGACGCTTTAACTCACTACATTTGAAAACATGTACAGAACAAGAGTGGCAGAGCTAGGGCATTGCGACAAGGCAAATGACTACAAGTCAAGTCAACTTTATTGTCAAATGTTGCTTATAGGCAAAGTTAAAGCACTGATATGTTTTCATTGTATTTTAGATTGGCACAAATTTACTGGGAAAGGATGGCCGGGACAGCAAATAATCCATTCCAACGTATCCTTGAGCCTCTGGATCCCCAGGTTGCAAATCAGCTGTTTTATAATCTCTCCAAACTTGAAGATCCAAGATACAGTAAGAGATCATCGGTTGCTGTCAAATCTCACCCTGTTAAGCATTATTCCCCAAAAGTTGATCCTAACTACTTTATATATAACTAACTAACTCCCTGTTCTCCAAGAAAAAGCTGAGCATTGCATCGAAATTCCAAACGGTTCTGTTGTGTTTTTTAGACAGTTTGCCATTCTCCATCCGTGTCCTCTTGGAGTCGGCTGTCAGGAACTGCGATGGCTTTCTGGTGAAGCAGTCAGATGTGGAAAATATCCTCAACTGGAAGCAGACCCAGACGCAGACGGTGGAGATCCCATTCATGCCAGCACGCGTCATCTTGCAGGACTTCACGTACGTTTGTGCTACATTTTTTTTTTAACCTTTGGACTTGTGACTGACTAGTGTTTGTTTCATTTTTATTCACAGCGGCGTACCTGCTGTGGTGGATTTCGCTGCCATGCGCGATGCGGTGATTAAGCTGGGCGGAGATCCTGAGAAAATCAATCCCGTTTGCCCAGCTGACCTGGTCATTGATCATTCCGTCCAAGTGGACTTTAACAAAAAGTAAGAGCGTCAAGATAGTTCTATTAGCTATTAAATGTTCCTTTAATCAAATCGTCATGATTTTTTTTTTCTTAAGGTCTGATAGCCTCCAGAAAAATCAAAACTTGGAATTTGAACGCAACAGAGAGAGATTCCAGTTCCTGAAGGTGCTAACAAGCGCTCACTGTTGGACGACAACCACTTTTGTCACCCTTTGACAATTCTTTGCTTTATATCAGTGCTTCCCAACCAGTGAAAGATATCAGGATTTTTATTTTCGTTGTCAGAATGTCTGCCAGCGATGTATAGTAACAGGCAGAACAATTAAAATGCTCTTCCACTACATTGCAGAAAATGTCAGACAATACACTCAAACTGTGTATTCACTTGATGCCATTCAACAGAAGAATTGCTTTGTCATTAACGAAACAGGCCCAGATATCATGCCGAGTCAGTAAATTCGTGAGCAAATGAAGTCATCATAGTTTTTGTGATATTTTTATTTGAACGTGAGACATGAGCTCTTTCAATTGTTCAATGTGTGCATTGGCTCACTAAAGTTTGGGAAACAGTGCATTTATATGGTAACCCAAAAAAAAAAAAGGAGCGAGAGTATTACTTGACTTTTATTTTTATTTTATTTGTAGTGGGGTTCCCAAGCTTTCAGGAACATGCGCATCATTCCGCCAGGTTCGGGAATTGTCCACCAAGTCAACTTGGAGTATTTGGCCCGGGTGGTGTTTAACCACGAAGGGTTTTTCTACCCTGACAGCCTGGTGGGCACCGATTCCCATACCACGATGATTGATGGCCTTGGCGTCCTGGGTTGGGGTGAGTTGCGTTCAACTTCTTGTGTTGTGCGTCCAGGTGCCTTATTAGCTGCTTCGCGGTTCATTTTTAATCGACTGTTTTTATGAGGTTTCAGAGTATACAAGCAAGTTTGAATTTAGACGACGGTTCACTGTACAACATTCACGAGCAAGAAGCTTTGTGATGAATTGAAACCCACGTGTCTCGCTCCGATGCAGTGATTGATTTGAGGTTTGTAATTTTTCTTTGTCTTGTCATAGGTGTGGGAGGCATTGAAGCGGAGGCAGTGATGCTGGGGCAGCCAATCAGCATGGTCCTACCTGAGGTGGTTGGATACAAGATGTACGGGAGTCCGGACAAGTTCATTACCTCCACGGACATTGTTCTCACTGTCACCAAGGTAAATACTTCCATTTCCATGGAGCTTTTGTGAACTATAGCCCACCGTGTTGAATGCCACCGGTGTTTTTCAGCACCTCCGTCAAGTGGGCGTCGTGGGGAAGTTTGTGGAGTTTTTCGGGCCCAGCGTGGCTCAGCTGTCCATTGCGGACAGAGCCACCATCTCCAACATGTGTCCAGAATATGGAGCCACCGCAGCTTTCTTTCCGGTGGACGATGTCAGCATCGAATACCTCAAGCAGACTGGTAAGTGACTGACAAGTCGAGGCTGCTGAGCAAATCTGCCTATGCTCATTGTGTATTTTCTTTGAAATTAGGGCGAGAAGCACAAAAACTGGCCTACATTGCAAAGTACCTGAAGGCCGTGTCCATGTTCCGGGATTACAGCGACGTATCCCAGAATCCAGATTTTAGTCAGGTTTGTTCTGACACCATGCATCTATTATGGCAGAGAAAATGAATTCATCAACTTGTGTGTCTCACGAAGGTTGTCGAGTTGGACCTCAGTACCGTGGTCCCATGCTGTAGTGGCCCTAAAAGACCCCAAGACAAAATTCCTCTTTCAGACATGAAGAAAGACTTTGAGGCCTGTCTGGGAGCAAAGGTGAGCTTGGCTTTTTATGATTTGTGGGCTTGTTTGCACACTGTCTGGCCCAGCATAGTCAAATAATAAAATTTAACCATGGTCCCTGTATCAAGAAGTAACGACCATTTGACTTCACAAATAAATACAAATTTCCTCTTATGTTGCCTGAAATCCAGCAAGGTTTCAAAGGCTTTGCCGTGGCTCCGGATTCTCAGAGTGCGACGGTCCCCTTCCAGTTTGATGGAAAAGACTACACGTTAAGCCACGGCTCGGTCGTGATTGCAGCCATCACCAGCTGCACAAACACCAGCAACCCGTCCGTCATGCTTGGAGCAGGTGGGTCATTTCATTTTCATTTTTGGATTTCCCTCATGTCTGGATGATTAAGTAACTTTTCCTTCCAGGACTCCTCGCTAAAAAGGCAATCGAGAATGGGTTAAGTGTGAAGCCTTACATCAAGACCAGCCTTTCACCCGGCAGTGGAGTGGTGACCTATTACCTGAAGGAGAGTGGTGTTATGGACTATCTCTCTCAGTTAGGGTAAGCTGCTAAATATTCATTCACGCAAAGGTGCTCAAAATTGAATTTGGTTGGTGTGTTTGTAATAAGTAGACCCATCAAAAAAGTTTAAATGCGATGCAACGATTTGAATAAAAACATTAATCAAATGTGGGGCCCCAAGCAAGAGCCCTGGGGAATGCCCCCTCCTCCCCAATTCAGCCCCTTGGAGCCAGTTTCACTTCCTAACGTGAAATCGGCAGGCAGGCCTGTCATGGGTAAATCCACAAAAATGTCTCCTAAAGTCTGGCCTGAAAAGAGATGTGAAGTCTGCCATTTTGTTTCAAAGCAGACACTTTGGGCTCATATTGACCATCCCAGGTGTTTTTCAAAAATCATCCCACAGGTTTTGTCCCATTACTACTGAATGCTCTAGGCCTAATAATAAAAAGCTTGCTATGTATGACTGACGCTCTTCTGTCTGTCTTGTCTTTTTTTTTTTCTTTTTTTTAAGATTTGAGGTTGTCGGCTATGGTTGCATGACGTGTATAGGCAACAGTGGACCCCTCCCAGAGCCAGTGGTGGAGGCCATCACCCAGGTATTATGACATACAGTGAACCCCCACTCGTCGTGGGCATTTGTTCCAGACCCCACCTGCATGCGATAGACAAGTAGATAGATTTTTTTGCTCAGCTACGTTGTCAACAGCAGCAGCATCGAGTACATTAATGCATCCATGGTTGTGTGTGCGTGTGCGTATGCGTGTGGGTGTGGTTGGTTGGTTGGTTGGTTTCGTTTTTCAGGGCGATTTGGTCGCTGCAGGTGTCCTGTCAGGAAATCGAAACTTTGAAGGTCGCGTTCACCCCAATACCAGAGCCAACTACCTTGCCTCGCCGCCACTTGTCATTGCTTACGCCATCGCTGGGACTGTCAAGATTGACTTTGAGACAGAACCTATTGGTGAGCAAAGTGGGGAGTCGTGCCACATCATTTGGCTCAGTGGAAAATGATTGGATGGCTATGATTTTGTTCGTTATGTATAGTTCCTCTCAGCTTTTGTTTTTTAGCACGGATCAAATTCTGTGTTGTGCTGATGACAAGAATAATCACAAAAGAAAGCTATTGGAATGTTACAAATCGACAGTGTCCTCAACATGACTTGAGTAAAAAACATTTTCAATTGTGGCCACCATATAGACAAAATGTACATGCCACACGATCGTCCTTGATTTGTCCTCGACATTTAGCTCCACCTCTTAAGCCCACACTCATTCAGAGTCACAGATACGACAGTGTGGACCATGAGGCAACTCAAAGTGAACAAAGATAACACCTGCACCTCCCTAGTATATTTTGTAGTGGTACTATGCAAAATTTAAAATGTGTATCAAGTGTTTGGGAGGGGTACAACTATATTTTTATAAAAATGGCATCATTTGTCTGCTTTTGCAGCCATTAGTTCTGATGGTCGCGAGGTCTTCTTGCGGGACATCTGGCCCACACGGGAGGAGATCCAGCGAGAGGAGAGAAAGTTTGTCATTCCATCAATGTTCAGAGAAGTGTATGAGAAAATTGAGGTACGGCGCCATTTGGTATTGAAGGCGCTTGTGAACGCAGACTTCTGAAGAATGGTGTCGATTACGGTTGCAGAAAGTGAATGAACGCTGGAACTCTCTGGTGGCTCCATCCGAGAAATTGTATCCTTGGGATGCCACGTCAACGTACATCAAGTCCCCGCCCTTCTTTGATGGTTTGGTAAATCACCTTTTCTGGGGGAGATAATGTTCTTTTGACAGGCATGCATCAGAAATGTAATCAATTGCAATTTCCAAAGAAGAACTCAGGGCCAACGTGTTCATTCTCTGAAGATGTGAACATGCGTAGTTATGAGGCTTGCTAATTTCTTGTCTTTTATTCAGACCATGCAGTTAAATCCTCCTCGGGCCATAGACGGCGCCTACGTGCTGCTGAACTTGGGTGACTCGGTCACGACAGACCACATTTCCCCTGCTGGGAACATCACTAGAAGCAGCCCCGCAGCACGCTACCTCTCAAGCAGAGGGTGAGTGACCTTGAGGGAATGTTGTGTCTCCATGTCCCTTGAATACTTTTAGGTGCTATAATTTTTTTTTCAATACGCGATGACAGTGTAACGCCACGTGACTTCAACTCTTACGGCTCCCGTCGAGGCAACGACGCGGTCATGGCCCGCGGTACGTTTGCCAACATCCGGCTGCTGAACAAATTCCTCAACAAGCAGGCACCTCAAACCATTTACCTGCCAACTGGGGAAGTGGTAAGCATGCGAGTTTCCAGCTGTCAATCCAAACACGCTGACACTCTTCATCTGTCCAAAATCTATCTGTTCGAGATGATAAATAGTTCACAGTTCAGAATGAGCTGATGAAAACTGATCGCAATTTAACATCATAATTCCCTGGAGTTGGGTTCTACAGAATTAAGTAGTTTCCCCGTCCTGTTGTGTCGAGATGGACGTTTTTGATGCTGCGGAGAAATATGGCCAGTCGGGAGTCCCTCTGCTGATTCTTGCCGGGAAGGAGTATGGCTCCGGCAGTTCGAGAGACTGGGCGGCAAAAGGTCCACTGTTACTGGTAAGACTGACTCTTGACTCGTTCATGCTCCGCACTTGTCCATCAAAGGCAGTGATTCCCAGCCGCTGTGTTCTCGGTGAAGGGCATCAAAGCTGTTTTAGCCGAGAGCTATGAGCGGATCCATCGGAGCAATCTGGTGGGGATGGGAATAATCCCGCTGGAGTATTTACCAGGCGACAACGCTGAGAGCCTGGGCTTGACCGGAAGGGAGCGCTTCCACATTGACATCCCCGAGAACATCACCACTAGGATGATTGTTGTCGTGACGGTACGCTTGCGATACCTCTTGAGAGACGCCTTTGAATATAGAATGCCTTATCCTCTTATTCTCCCTACAGCTCGACACAGGAAATACATTTAACGTACGGATGAGGTTCGACACAGATGTGGAACTGGCCTATTTCCACCACGGCGGCATCCTGAACTACATGATCCGCAAGATGTCTGAGAATTAACGTCTGAGATACAGGGTTATCCTAATGATTAGACCCTTCACGTAAAATTCAACAAACCATTCCAGTTTAAGTGAATCGTTTGTAGAATTGGCTGGACAACCGTTTCCTCCATTTATTTTGCCTTAATTTTTGTCATATGTATGTATTTACATATCTACATCCTGTATATTTTGCCATGGGAGAATCGCGGAGTAACTCCTTAGATTATTTTGCAATATTTACCAACTGACAATATGAAAATACAGATGTGTGCAATAACTGATGTCTCTTAGCTTCGCAAGTCATGTAAGAGTGTCAAGGGGGATTCTGTTTTGGATTTGCATTAAATGGATACTTGTACATAACTTGTAAGACTTGACTCTCTGAGTACCACTACCCTGACATTAAACATTAAAATACAGCAGAGTATTGTAAGATACTGTAACATTCTGCACAGTTTGAACATGTACAATAAAAATACTTCAATGATTCACTTAAAATGTATTGAACCCAGTCCGATTGGGTCAAAAACATTTAAAATAAACCTTTATTAAAGCTGAAGTGCAGTCTTTTTAATTTGGGGGTCTCAATATCATTATGGGGGTGTTTTAAAATTTATTTTACACAAAGCTGTTGAATGAACTTTTAAAAATATTTAAATGATGCCATTATAAATTAGATTTTTCTTAAAGTAGGCCACTTGTTTTGTCAAGCTAATTTTGAAGCGTGTAAATAATGAATTGATTACTTTTTTTCTTACTAACATCTGGAAGCTGGGAGCTTAAGAAAAAAATGTTATGTTTGTAAAAAATAAATAAAAATAAAAATGCAGGTTTAATCGGCTTTTGCTTCTGCCTGTGCCGTTTCTGTCATCACTCAGTGTATGTGTGACTGTTGATTTTTATAGTGTTTATGTGGACTATATTACTGTATGGTGACTGAATAAATGTCCTACTAATACTTTGTGGTTGTGGCGATATTTTGTTTTAGTATTTTCATGAATTTAGTTTTTAAGTTCAATATCATTATGGGGGTGTTTTAAAATTTATTTTACACAAAGCTGTTGAATGAACTTTTAAAAATATTTAAATGATGCCATTATAAATTAGATTTTTCTTAAAGTAGGCCACTTGTTTTGTCAAGCTAATTTTGAAGCGTGTAAATAATGAATTGATTACTTTTTTTCTTACTAACATCTGGAAGCTGGGAGCTTAAGAAAAAAATGTTATGTTTGTAAAAAATAAATAAAAATAAAAATGCAGGTTTAATCGGCTTTTGCTTCTGCCTGTGCCGTTTCTGTCATCACTCAGTGTATGTGTGACTGTTGATTTTTATAGTGTTTATGTGGACTATATTACTGTATGGTGACTGAATAAATGTCCTACTAATACTTTGTGGTTGTGGCGATATTTTGTTTTAGTATTTTCATGAATTTAGTTTTTAAGTTTTCCGTCTTTTGCGTCTCGTGATCGGAAGTTCCCGCCCATCGTGATTGACGTCATTTCCGATGGAGGGTTTCGGGCCAAAACAAAAACACAAGCTAGCGAGCTAGGAATGTGTTTGAATGTCCAAAAGTAGAAGAAATATCAAACAAAACGAAACCATGAAATAAACAACATTTCCTTCTGCGCCATGAATTTACGGGGACTCTTTCAGGATTTTAATCCCAGGTAATGGACGACCGCGAAGTTTGGCTCACCGAATAGCATTAGCTGGACGTCCTAACGTCAGTATGTTGAGAATTGAACACATATTACTTCGTTCGAACTTGTTTGGTTATAAGTTAAAATTAAGAAAGTGAGAAAACCTGCTGAGACTTTAAATGACATGAACAGCATTCCACGCTGGACTGCTTTTAATTCTCGTGCAATGAAGCCTACTAATGTGCTGTTCTTCAGAAGTAACGAGGATTTCCTAATTCTCTTGCCTACTTAACAGCTTCATTCATCATTATATTTATTGCATTGATTTCTTCATATAAGTGATGGTCCTACCACGAGGCAACATAGTCTGTTGTAAAATAGTCGGTTCAACTCAAGTTCTGATGTCGTTTCCTGGCAATTTGTCGTGATCCATGTGCGTTTCCTTCTCCCCCGCAGCAAGTTCCTGATCTACTTGTGCCTACTGCTGTTCTCTGTGTTGCTGTCATTGCGGCTTGATGGGGTTATCCACTGGAGCTACTGGGCAGTGTTTGCGCCGATATGGCTGTGGAAGCTGCTGGTCATCATCGGAGCGTCAGTGGGCACTGGAGTGTGGGCACACAATCCTCAGTACAGGTATACTCGTCTTTGGGCATCTCTGCATACGCGGTCCATTAGGGCTGCGTGATATGGGTCAAAAAATGGTATTGAGATTCTTTTCCATCTCACTACCAGGGCTGAAGGCGAAACATGCGTGGAGTTCAAGGCCATGCTGATCGCCGTGGGGCTTCACGTCCTCTTGCTCATGTTCGAGGTGTTGGTGTGCGACCGTGTGGCCAGGGGGAGCGGCAACTACTTCTGGCTGCTCGTCTTCATGCCGCTCTTCTTCGTGTCGCCCGTCTCCGTGGCGGCGTGTGTCTGGGGCTTCAGACACGACCGCTCCCTGGAGGTAAGACGCGTTTTCTCAAGCGCTGCCCCACCCACCGACATGTTGAATCGTCTTTCAGGGTAAAAAAGTAACAACGCGCTTCCTCTTCCTCAGCTGGAGGTGTTCTGTTCGGTGAATATTCTCCAGTTCATCTTCATCGCTCTGAGGCTGGACAGGATCATCAACTGGCCTTGGCTGGTGAGGGCCCCTCGCATTCATTTTTCATTTTAAGGGGACAGCAATGTGGTCAAAATTGAAAGAATTTTTTTTTAATGCAAAACAAGTACTGGTGTTACAATATATATCATAAAAAGAAGAAAATTGGGCATTTTGAAAAAGTTTATCGTCGCCCGGTTTTGCATTTCCTTAATCAAAAGAAAAGTTTTCTCACTCTTGGCCACCGGGGGCAGTACACTGCCACGCTGCCGTTAGTTCGCGCTTTTGACTCGAACTCTGGGCCAGGGACTTGGACTTGCAACCAAAAGACTTGAACTTGACTCATAGTTGTGGATCAAAACTTGAGACTTGATTCGGACTTGTGCCCATCTTTGGTCAGGTGGTGTGCGTGCCACTGTGGATCCTCATGTCGTTCCTGTGCCTCGTCGTCCTCTACTACATCATCTGGTCGGTCCTTTTCCTCCGCTCCATCGACATCATCGCCGAGCAGCGGCGGACTCACATCACCATGGCGATCAGCTGGATGACCATCGTGGTTCCACTGCTCACCTTCGAGGTGAGGACCCAGTGACGCTTCAACGGCTTGGGGCCGCGCCGCTGACGTTTTTTGCGGCCTTTTCTCCCCTCCCGCAGATCCTCCTGGTGCACAAGCTGGACGGCCACAACAGCCTGAGCTACGTGTGCGTCTTCGTGCCGCTATGGCTCTCGCTACTCACGCTCATGGTCACCACCTTCGGCCAGAAAGGCGGAAACCACTGTGAGTAAAAAGCAATGAAATTTTGGTGGGTTGCAGGATTGGAAAGAAAAAAAAATGCACATCATCAATTTTAGCGATTACAGCAAGCGTCAGAGGTGCAACACTGAATCGATTCATTAACAGGCTAATCCATTATCAAATATATCAACTACTTTTAACACTGGTCAATACATTTTTAGAAAATATTTTACTCAGTTATGCAAGTAAACTTTTCTAGCAATTGTTTGTTTTTTTTTTTGCACTGATTCACATCAGGTTTTCATAATAATTTATTAATTTCAATCATTTCAACCCTGATTTCATTCTAGGGTGGTTTGGCATCCGCAAGGACTTCTGCCACTTTCTGCTGGAGCTCCTCCCCTTCCTGCGAGAGTACGGCAACGTCTCTTACGACCTCCAACGCAGCGACGACCCTGAGGCCGCCGAGGACCCGCCCGTCCCGGAGCCGCCACCCAAGATTGCCCCCATGTTCCACAAAAAAACCGGCGTCGTCATCACGCAGAGTCCTGGCAAATATTTTGTCCCGCCACCCAAACTCTGCATCGACATGCCCGACTAGGCGGGCACGGACTCTGCGAGGAGAGCCGCCGCTCACTTGAACTGAGCAGAATCCTGCGACGTCTTTTTCACCGCAAGAAAGGTGATTATTCGGGACTACAAAATGGACGCCGCCTCGCCTCTGTCATGGGACCAGCGGAGAAACGCTTGCTTTAAAAGTTGGCGCCTCGTTCCCCTGACTTGCGCTTTGGAGTCAAACCCTCCTGTTACGTTGACGAGTCACCGAATAATTCATTTTACATACACCACTTGCAAAACTGGTGTATGTAAAATGAATTTTGGACTTTTTGGTAGCATTATTACTCTTCCTGATAAAATAATGCAACAAGAGGGTTAATTGCGCGCTGACCTCAATCATGAATGGGCACTTAATATTTCAGAGAGATTCCGTTTTGTTTTGTTTTTCCCTTCTCACTGTTCATTGTAAATAAATGAATCTTTCTCATTAGGGACCAGAGCAACTGATCCACTGGATCAGTAGAAACAAGCTGCCCGGTTGTATTGGACACGTTCCCCATCGTTCTTGATTGTTAGTGACTGTCACCTTCGAATGGTTTGGATGCAAATGTACATACGTGGTCACGTGATCTGTTCGGCTGCTTCCCGTATCAGCCGATCATCACAAAGCAGAATAAAATGACAAAAAGTGTTTTCAGCCTTGTCTATTATTTGTCATTTAGTCTTCAGAGTGGTTACGCAGCATTTGTTTTGGGAGACTAAATTGTCTTTCGGTGGGAATGTGAGTGTGAATTGTCTGTATGTGTGCCTTCTGCTTTAGATGACTTTGGTTTTCAAAGGGTGGCACAGTGTCAACTGGTTGGCACATCCGCTTCACAGTGAGCAGGTCTTGGGATCGAATCTGGCCCCAGCCTTCCTGTGTGGAGTTTGAATGTTCTCCCCTTGTGTGGGTTTTCTTTGGATAACTCCAGTTTCCTCCCACTTTCCAAAAATGTGCATGGTAGCTTCATTCATCATCTAAACTGTGCTTCGGTTGTTTGCTCGCAAACTAGTTCAGGGTGAACCGCGCCTACTCCATAAAGTCAGCTGGGACAGGCTCCAGCATGCCCGCGGCATGTGAGGATAAGTGGCTCGGATAATGGATGCATGACTTAAAAGGTGCAACAGAGTCCGGGACATATTTACAAATGTGATGGAAAAAAAGAGCATGAGAGCGAGTATGAGCTCTTCCGTGGTGAAGTGCACAGTAAAAGATACAGAATTAAAAAGTTCTTGAAACGAGCTCGCAGATGTTGACTTAAAATATGGCAAAAATAGTACCTTGCTGGAATAAAGCAATTTGAATAAAAAGAGTTTATAGCCTGACATAAATCCTTCGCGGCAACATAATAAGGGCTCGAACTCTGGATTCTTCATCTATTTATTTTGTAAAATATGCGGCTGACCCCAATAAAAGTTAATCATGGGTCGTGAGGAAAAACTCGAACGTTTTTCTAGTTACACGCTTGACCGCTAGATGTCAGGAAAACGCAAAAACGGAAGAAGAAGACATCAACAACACAGCACATAGCGTTAGCTGCTCGTTGGCTAATATTTTCACGGCTGTTTTGGGACATTTTAACAGGTACGCCACACAACTACCAGCTAACATCTTATCTTATCCCCGTCACTTGCTCATATATTTGATTCCATTCTCGTCGTGTCGCATATAAGCTCATTTCGATCCGGCTGGGCTGTTTAGCTCGCAGGCTAACGTTAGCTCGTTGGCTCTAAACAAGCTTCTTTCAACGTCAGTGTGTTGGGTGCCTGGGTGGGAGCTCTGGTTTTTCACAGCTCCTGAAGGAATGTGCATTGTGTTCCCGCTTGTGGGAATAAAATTTATATATTTCCCCCCACATTAACCTGCATCAACTTCCACAGGTTAACGGATTTTTTTTCCTCCTCCATACAAATAATGTGAAAAATGTGTTTCCTCTTGAAAATGTCCATTTGTTCAAAACTCGTATGTCATAATTACTAAGTCAAATGTTATGTTCCACTCCATGTCTCATTCACTTGAACGTTTTTTTGTGTGCGCGCGTGCGTGTTTGTGGATTGGCAACTGATATTGTCCCCCTCCCCATGCAGGTACGCTGGAACTTTCTGACACCCACTCGGACATGTCCTATGTTTTCATCAACGATTCGTCGCAGACTAACGTCCCTCTGCTGCAGTCCTGCATCGATGGAGACCTGCCCTTCGCTAAGAGGCTCCTGGAGACCGGCTGCGACCCCAACATCCGCGACAACCGCGGACGCACCGGCCTGCACTTAGCTGCGGCGCGGGGCAACGTTGACATCTGTCGCCTGCTGCACAAGTTCGGCGCCGATTTGCTGGCGACGGACTACCAGGGGAACACAGCGCTGCACCTGTGCGGCCATGTGGATACTATCCAGTTCTTGGTGTCCAATGGGCTGAAGATTGATATTTGGTAAGTGATGCCATGTCCTTTTTTTGGGGACGAATCACATTTACTTGTGAGTGTCCCAACAATACACGGCCGGTATTGCCCTTTTCAAGCGGATTCATAATCGGTTGGCTTTTGCCGAATAAATACCGACATATCGTTACTTTCTGAACAAACAGTAAATGCTGTTCAGTGTTTGAGTCACTGGAAATGACGTTCTTGTGCCACTAGATGGCGCTCGTACTCCACAAACTGTTTATCCTCTCAATCCACAGCAAATTTTATCAGTTCAAAAATACTTTTTTAAAGCATGTTTTTGTATTTGAAAATTCATCTCTACTGAAAAGTTAAACAAATACTAAAGTTCCAAGTTTTGTAAAAACTTTCTGCTTGTAAATATTTTTGTTGTTGCTTTGTTTTCTTGTTGTATTTTTTTAGATCAGTTGTTCTCAAGCAAGTATCACCAAAAAACAAAAAAAAACATCTTCACTAGCACCATAACGACCAACATTATCATCGTGCAAAAACGGGACGTTTTTTTTTCTTTAATTTTCTAAAAAGTGTATATTTCTGATATCATTATGCATAGTTCAAACACGAATACTGTGCTGCATTTAATTTTAGAAAAAATCTACAAAAACGGTACAATTGTTCCTAAATAAAAGTTACACACATCGTCTGAAAATGAAAAGCAAATGTATTGTACTAAAAAGTCAAATGCAACAGAACTTTCATTTTGACTTTTGATTTTGTAACTCATTTAGTTTTAATGAGTTTTCATGATTTTTTTTTTTTTAATTTGCTTTGTTCGAAGTTTTTTTAAAATTAGTTTTAGTTTTCTTTCTGTACGGACGTACAGCAAAACCTAAATAAATAAATGATTTGAAATGAACGCCGAAAGCTGATGCATGGTATTAGTTGGCAAAGACGAAAACGAAGGCCAATTTCACTGTAATTATAGTTTGTGTTCGTTAGTTTTATTAACGAAATATGTAATTAGTTAGTTTTTGTTGAATTTTTTAAAACATATTCATTTTTATTTTATCAATAAAAATATATTTTTAATGTTATTTCTTTGTTGTTGTTTTTCGTTAACTATGATAACCTTGGCCTGTGTGCCACTTGTGGTACTAGTACAACACTTACTGAATCACTGTTTGAAATTAATCTGCTGATTAATCAGTTAGCAATTTTTTTTCTGCTGAATATTGGCATCGGCCTTAAAAAAAAAAAAAAAAAAAATCACATTTGTCGAGCCCTGATGCATTTTGGGGCCTGGAACAGATTAAAGGCATTTGATTTCATTTCAATGGGCAAAGTTGCATCAAGTCAAGGTACCACCGTTTACGGCACGTCTCATTCGCCGGAGCGTGACGGCGCCCGTTTGCGTTGGTTTGTCGTAGTAATCACAACGGCTCCACGCCGCTGGTGCTGGCCAAGAGGCGCGGCGTCAACAAGGATGCCATCCGGCTGTTGGAGGGGCTGGAGGAGCAAGAGGTGAAAGGCTTCAACCGAGGAGCCCACTCCAAGCTGGAGACCATGCAGATGGCCGACAGCGAGAGGTAGGCGCCCGGGCTGAACATTCAAAAAAAAAAAAAAAAAAAAAAGAGCTTCATGTCACTTAATCTGTGAAAACCGGGATCAATTGTCATCCAAATACTCGGCCCACCGTTTTGGTTTTTTATAGGTGTTGAGTGTTTTCCATTTCCTTTTCCTCCGATCGGTTTCCTTTTGCAAATGGTTCAGCCCAAGCGGGCGCTCACGCAAGCTGCCCCGCCCCAAATAACCCCCTCGCGTGTGCCTCCAGCGCCATGGAGAGCCACTCGCTGCTCAACCCCAACCTGCAAAGCAGCGAGGGCGTGCTGTCCAGCTTCCGCACCACCTGGCAGGAGTTTGTGGAGGACCTTGGCTTCTGGAGAGTCCTACTGCTGCTGGTGGTCATCGCCCTGCTCTCCCTCGGCATCGCCTACTACGTCAGCGGCGTGCTGCCCTTCTCCAGCAGCCAGCTGGAGCTTGTGCACTGAACGAATGATGGAAGGGGGGGGGGGGGAATTGACCCGGAGATTTATTTGTCCTGAGGTGTGAGTGTGAGTGCGGATGGTTGCTCGTCTCTGTGTGCCCTGCGACTGGCTGTCAGTCGGTTCAGGGTGTCCCCCGCCTACTGCCCGAAGACAGCTGGGAGAGGCTCCAGCATGCCCTTGTGAGGATAAAGCAGTTCAGAAAAGGGATGGATAGATGAAAAATGTTGATACCTGAGAAATCTACTCTTGACACCAGTTACTACTTTCCTATTAGCCAGAGCTTTGGTACCATCTTGTGAGCACAAAAACCACAACAAGGCAATTTCCTCCCCCTCCGAAGAGTTGACGACAAGATCCCCAACAAATGCGAACAGGTGATTTTGTGAAACGCAAACCACCGGTTCGGTTAGCATTACTGACCTCCATGCTTGTTTGGAACTCCCAAAAAAAATGTCTTTCCCTTCATTTAATTTCACGAAATGTAACCGCGACTCCTTTGAAGAAATGAAGCGCTTGTTTCAAGCTGTACATTGCTTGTGTTATGTCCCTTTTTGCTTGAACTCTCACCTCTGTATGAATTCCTGAGAGTGTCAAGTTTGCGTTTTTTTGTGTGCCGCTGCGGATTTGCTTATGTACTTTTTATTTTATTTTTTTTAATACTCTCACCTCTGTATTCATTCCTAAGAGTATCATTCAAGCCAGCTAAGTTTCCTTGAGGGTATCATTCAAGTCCTTCTCCCCATTCCCCCCCGCCAGCATGCAACTTGATCTTCTGTCCCACATCCTATTTTGGCATTTGATTTTGTTGATATATATATATATATATATATGTATATGTGTGTATTTTATTGTGATGTTTGAAAGGCATGTCAATGTTAGGCGCAGTGAACTTCACATGTTTGGCAAGTATGAATAAAAATGTATGATTCCAATCAATATGAGTAATGGTGGTGTTCCATTTGGAGATATTTGGACAACCTTTGAGTGATTCTTAGCAAGCAGAAGCAAAAACAGGTATATTTGTCTGAAACTGTTTAGGTCACACGTAAGTATACAGTATACAGTAGGTAATAGAAGTTCACCTGTGATTGGCTGGCAACCGGTTCAGGATGTCCCCCGTCTACTGCCCAAAGACAACTGAGACAGGCTCCAGCACCCCCCCCCCGACCCCCCGTGACCCTTGTGAGGATAAAGCAGATAAGAAAATGAATGGATGGATGAATAGAAGTTCACACTCCTCCTGTTCAAATACAATTTTATTGTGGGGGGGAATATGACACAAATATGTGATTCAAGATTCCACCATTATAATCTGTGCAACTATTTTGAATTGTTATGTCCAAAACTGGCATTTGAATTGGGGGACGTCAGACTTTTTACATGAGTTCATACGAATATGGAAACGAGCAAAGCAAAAACCAGTTCAAGTGCAAAAGTGGAACTGAAAGAAATTGAATCTCAGCAAGAAAAAGAAAGTGATGACACAAATGTCGTCTAATCATGCTTACAGTCATATTTGTGTGAAAGAAATCCGAAAAATGATGCAATGATTTATGAAATCAGATGACATCCTGAAAACTTCTGTCATTTTTTTGTGAAAGTTTGAACAATGTATAAATTAAGATCTGTAAATATGGGTCATATAAACCCCGTGCACCGTGTGTTCATGGATAATATTGATCCGATCTTGCATAATATCACGTGTGGAGCGAATGATTAAAAAAATATATAATGTAGCAAATCAAGTTTGGGGCTTGTTAAAAATGAGTCTGCTGAATGTAAGTGTGCTTTTTTTTAAGTCTCACTTTCTATTCCTCTTTTTTGAGGTGATTTGGTTTTATATCCAATGGGGGTTGGCCCATAGGGTTTCAGTGGAAATCGAAAGTTTTATCTCAAAGAGACTTGCACTTGAATGCGTTGGTCCTCTCGATCAAGGTCCTCAACACACGGAGAGAAAAAGGTAAATATTCGACCGCATCTGATATTTTCCAACTAATTTGAACTGTTGGTTCGATTTAGGGTTATTTTTGTTAAACTTTGGGAGGAGACTTGATTTGGCTGCAAGGTCGATTTTACATGACTTGAACTTCAAAGGCTCTTTTATAAAATTCTTATCTCATTTATATAACGCAGTTTTATAGACTCGTTATGCACTTGCAAAGCATATTAGAGATGTCGACGTTTCATTAATGATAATGTGGCGTCCAAATAAATGAAAGGTAGTTTGTCTTACGTTAACTTTGAATTGTTATTCTACGTTGATAGCACCCCAAGACCACATTTTTAGGCTTAGGAATATAATAATAGTTGTTTGGCTCCTATTTCCTACGAATAAACATATTCAATTTGAAAACGTCCTCGTTGACTGTGGGGGTGATGATGGGCCCATTTTAGCTTCGGGGTGCCTAACGAGTTAGCCTCGCAAAAAAGTGACCTGCAAACCAAGGTCCTAACTATAATTATTCGTATTCATTTTGATTATTAGTGTATCATTCAGTTTGTGTGACAAAATTTGCATAATTTCGGTGTAAAAAGAAAATCCCACAATGTGTTTCGAGTATATTTGCATTTCAAAATGGTTGCCCCTGGTCAAGCGAGCTGGCTTGGGCCCAACTACAATTTGTATTTGAAACATTATTTGCACTGTATAATTACTATTTTTATTTCTTTTTACGAGTGGAAGTGGGCTTCTCTCCGTTACGGGACAAGTACAAAGCAACAAAATGCAGTGTGTGCCTTAAACAGTGTTGCGTAAGCGTAAAGGGTAACTAAATGGTGTATAGTACGTTCAAGGGATGAGATACAGTAATATTATATCTACTCTGTGTTTATTTTCTGTAACACCCTAAAGCTGCCACAAAATGGTGCCAATGGACCAATTGGTGTGAAAGAAGTACTGTATGCCAACGTGACATGTCTCAATTGTTCAAGGGCAGGTCCTTGTATTGCCGGTGATTCAATGCAAATGATTTGACCTTAAAAGTGAACTCCAACTGAACTGTATGCAGTGATTCTTAAACGTACCACCGCAGTGAGATGACTGATGATTGGATTGACACATTTTCTGTCCCCCCAGACATGGCCCACTACCAGCCCCCCTACCAGCCCGTCGACCACCAGCCCACCCAGGTGGTGACCCAAGTGGTGACCAATTCTTTCCGTCACTCCACCTGGAGCACCGGGGTCTGTGATTGCTGCAGCGACATGAGTACTTGTAAGTCACTTGTGGCTTTATTTCGCCACTCGGGTCATTGTAAAACTTCCCAAGTACCGTTTTTACCACTTCCATAATAGATAAGATAAGATAAGAAAACCTTTATTTGTTTCACAATGGAGCAATTTGCAGATGTGTCTTGAATAGATTAGACTTAATACAAATTGTAAGTACGTTTTAATTGCATGTAACTTGAGCAATAAATTAGCATTTTGGGGGGAGGAACATTGGTGCTATTTGCTTGTAAGTTTTGTGTGCAAAACATTTGAATTCAATCCTTTTTCCAAGTACAGTACAGCTTTTTTTCTGGTATACATGCGCCATGTTTACATGGTGACGCTATCAGGTTGAATGTTGTCTCTTTGTCAGGTTGCTGCGGCCTGTGGTGCTTCCCTTGCATGCAGTGCCAGACGGCCAGCAAGCACGGCTGGTGCTGCGCCATGCCGTTGCTTGACTTCTGCTGCATCGTGTCATGCATGCTCCGCTCATCCATCAGGGAGCGCCACGGCATCCCGGTAAAAAGCTGCCCGTCGCCAAGGAAGGGTGTGTGGGTTTAGGGGATGATAATGGGCTGATGGGGACTTGAACAGATTTATTTATTTCTTGAAATGATGCTTAAAATGTGGTCCACGGGTTCCCTCCAGTGGTACAGGATAGAATCAGTGCCCAAGTGCAATTCAGTTGTGTTTTACTTTTATAGAGGCCATTTCGTGCTCTTTCAAGCTGCCCACAGTTAACTGTAGGCATATACGGTATATGATCATCATATATTACCTTTGGAACAACGGTGATCAGATTTCTTATGAAATCCGATTTATTGACCCAAGTTTGTAAAAAGCCAACTAAGGCATTGACGTGTCAGGGATGCGGTTGCATGGTGTAGAGTGGCAAATTGCTTCAGCGTAAAATCAGTGTCGATGTCTCTGCCAGCACCCCAAAACAGATCCTCTTGTTAATTGAGACACAAAGAGCATACGTGAGGGGGAGCGGTGAAAGATAAACGTCCGGCAGCAACGCTTCCAGGAGAAAGTCCAGGTGGCGGTTGTTTTGGAAACAGGCCGACAATGATATCAGTCGACCTTGAGTCTTGCCGGTGCCTCTCGAAGGGCTTTAATTAGCCAAATTGGCAATCGGTTTTCCAAGACGACACCAACGTCTCCCCCGTTGTTTACCATTCGCGCAGTGTCATTCATTCGGCCGCCCCCTCTGAGTCAACAGCTCGTCGTCTTCGCTCTGTGGCACCCAAGGCCCGTCGTGTGGTAGCTCTCGTGGGAGAATCACTTTATTAAGTACAGTTCAGTTGTATTTATTGTTTAAGTTCAGTACAGTTGCATTTATTTTTTAATTCTTTGACTGCCGTTTGATGACAATTGCCATCAATGGGAATCCTAACAAGGAGCGCCGTCAACAGTAATTGCCATCAACTATTTTTTTTTTTTAACGGAAAAAAACACACACACATATATGCATGGCACAGTGCTTGCACACACACACACACACACGCACACACACACACACACACACACACACACACACATACATATGCGCGCGCACGCTACTAAATACTACTACTACTAAATAGTGTGCAAATACTTTGTAACATTTATCACATGCAAAATTGTTATGCTGGTGAATATTTGTAAACACCTTATTTTGCTATGAAAAGCAAATTTTCATTGTTGGTGGATTTTATGGTAGAAAAGGACCGTTGGAGATTTTTGCAACCAAAAATGATTCCCATAAAAGTCACTGTTAAGATCAGTCAGAAAGCTCGAAATTGACAGGCACTCAAGATTTCTCTTCTTTTTTTTTTTTTAATGGCTGGCATTGAAAGAGTTACGAAATATTTGTTTTTGGAGCAATTTCTGAAGTACAGTCTTCATTCAGCTTTTATGCACTCGAGTGAACCATTTGCCGTGCCCGCAGGGTGGCAAATTGCTTCAGCGTAAAATCAGTGTCGATGTCTCTGCCAGCACCCCAAAACAGATCCTCTTGTTAATTGAGACACAAAGAGCATACGTGAGGGGGAGCGGTGAAAGATAAACGTCCGGCAGCAACGCTTCCAGGAGAAAGTCCAGGTGGCGGTTGTTTTGGAAACAGGCCGACAATGATATCAGTCGACCTTGAGTCTTGCCGGTGCCTCTCGAAGGGCTTTAATTAGCCAAATTGGCAATCGGTTTTCCAAGACGACACCAACGTCTCCCCCGTTGTTTACCATTCGCGCAGTGTCATTCATTCGGCCGCCCCCTCTGAGTCAACAGCTCGTCGTCTTCGCTCTGTGGCACCCAAGGCCCGTCGTGTGGTAGCTCTCGTGGGAGAATCACTTTATTAAGTACAGTTCAGTTGTATTTATTGTTTAAGTTCAGTACAGTTGCATTTATTTTTTAATTCTTTGACTGCCGTTTGATGACAATTGCCATCAATGGGAATCCTAACAAGGAGCGCCGTCAACAGTAATTGCCATCAACTATTTTTTTTTTTTAACGGAAAAAAACACACACACATATATGCATGGCACAGTGCTTGCACACACACACACACACACGCACACACACACACACACACACACACACACACATACATATGCGCGCGCACGCTACTAAATACTACTACTACTAAATAGTGTGCAAATACTTTGTAACATTTATCACATGCAAAATTGTTATGCTGGTGAATATTTGTAAACACCTTATTTTGCTATGAAAAGCAAATTTTCATTGTTGGTGGATTTTATGGTAGAAAAGGACCGTTGGAGATTTTTGCAACCAAAAATGATTCCCATAAAAGTCACTGTTAAGATCAGTCAGAAAGCTCGAAATTGACAGGCACTCAAGATTTCTCTTCTTTTTTTTTTTTTAATGGCTGGCATTGAAAGAGTTACGAAATATTTGTTTTTGGAGCAATTTCTGAAGTACAGTCTTCATTCAGCTTTTATGCACTCGAGTGAACCATTTGCCGTGCCCGCAGGGTTCCTGCTGCGACGACTGCTGCAAGCTGATGTGGTGTTTCCCGTGCACGTGGTGCCAGATGAACCGCGAGGTGAAGATCAGGGCCAGCGAGGGCACCGTGTCCACTGTCAACACGCAGATCATCAGGACCGTGTAGAGCGTCCCAGCGCCCGGCCACAGCACGACAATCCCTGTTGTATGTTGTGTGCACGACCAGTTCCCACGACAGTGTTCGGTTCAACCAACATTCTGTTGGAAGTGTTGACATTTCTATCCTTTTGTATAACACGTTGGCATCATGTGATGGTGCCGAAAGTCTGCTATATTCACTTTTCACTTCGCAGAGCTTTCAGTGTGACGTTGATGACGAATATGTTCACGTTTGGTTACGTTTAAAGCACATTAAAAAAAGATTTTCCAAAGTGCGTATACAGTGACACTTCCAGGATTACAATGCTCTCGAATGTCGGAAAGGAAAGCCGCAGTTCCCGAAGCTCGTTAAGCAAGCAAAAGAGGAAGAATGTACTTTATTTTGTTTGGAAACTGGTTTCAAATTCACGCACCAAATCTGCATGTTTTCGATTCCTTTTTTTTTTATTTAACAGAATAGTCTGAGTAGGACCTTGAACTCACCCAGCTGCCAAGTCGTTGATAACAGGAAGCGAGTGGGAGAAAGCTCACCATGGGAGTGAGGCAATACCTCCCCAATACAAATAAGCGCTTTATTTATACATCCCACAGTTCAAATACATGCATTTTGCATTCAAAGGGATAAAAAACTTAGTTAGCCATTTTCAGCAACAAAAAGGAAATGTTTTGTCGCGAATGAATTTGTTCACTTCATTATTTTTCATGTTAAATTCACACCTTTAAAAAAGGCATCCTGGGGCGGGGTAGCACAGTGGTGACAGTTTCGCACTTCTGTCTCACAATGCGGAGTTGCAAGTTTCGATTCTGGCTCTGGCCTTCCTTTGTAGAGTTTGCATGTTGTCCCTGCACCTGCACGGGTTTTCTCATGCATGGCAGGCTATTGGAACACTCGAAATTATCTCTTGGTGTGAGTTTGACCGCGAATGATTGTTCGTCTATGTGTGCCCTGTGATTGGCTGGCAATCGGTTGAGGGTGTCCCCCGCCGACTGCCCGAAGACAGCTGGGATAGGCTCCAGCACGCCCGCGACACCGGTGACGATAAATGGATTGGAAAATGGATGGAAAAAGGCATTTTACCCCTTGCTGACGACTGAAAATGACATTACAAGGCCTGAACCGTGATTAGTCAAATCTGCCCTCATTTTTTTCTCTAGCACATCAGGTTTTCATTATGATAACAATATGTGATATAATCCTAGTCATCAACGAAGGATTACAGGTTGAGCAACTGATGGATTTCTTTTTCTGAACCGTATTTTAAATCGCAAGGGTAACATCCGTATTGCGCAAGCTTTTATCGGTTAAATGTGAAAACAAAAATATTTCAAAAACTCAATGTGCTAGGAAGTAGACATTTTTGAATCAGCATCAAAAATACGTTTCAGGACATATCCAGCCATCTCGGATTAAAATTTTCATTGACCAGTGTTGTATTTTCCAAGGAAAAGTGAAAAAAAGCAATTTGTTTGCACCAAATTCGTAACTATATCCATCCATTCACTATCTGTGTACTTTTCCTGTTTTATAATGACGTAAACGGATGTTATTTTTGTCTTTTTCCGTCCTAACTGGAATGTTGGAAAAGCACGTGTTTTTTATGTTTCGTTGCCTCTTCGTTCAGAGGTATATTGCGCATGCGCAATTTGCGCAATTTCTGCGGTTGCACAAACAGGTCTCGTCCTGTAGAGGGTGCCGTTGGCATTTCAAAGCGGCGCTCGCATTCGCACGTCAGTACGCATGCGCGTGTGTTCTGCCTCCAACAACAAGGAGCGAGAGCCAGCCAACATGGCCGACCTAGGGAAGAAGTACTGCGTGAACTGCCTGGCAGACGTGACCAATCTCCGGCTTCGCTGCACCGACTGTCCCGATATCGAGCTGTGTCCCGAGTGCTTCTCGGCGGGCGCAGAAATCGGCAACCACCGGAGATGGCACGGCTACCAGCAGGTCGACGGCGGTCGCTTCTCCCTCTGGGGTCCCGAAGCGGAGGGAGGATGGACGAGCAGGGAAGAGCAGTCGCTCCTCGATGCCATCGAGCAGTACGGCTTTGGAAACTGGGTACGAAGTTTTTGCACTTCACAGACGTTTTGCGGCATGCCTGCCGAGAGAGCAAACGTACTCAACACTCTGTATTTACGTCGAAGTACATGTAGCTAACTGTGTAAAATAGAAGTCCTGATTCAACGCTCAAGTGGAAGTAAAAATGCACAGATGCTAAAGTGTCGTCAAGTGCGAAGGTCATTCCATGCTTTTAATGAAACTCGCTGTACTCGTTGATAGTGATGGCAGAACACAAAATCGCAAATATTTGGTCAATCGGAGCAGGAGTTTGGAACCAAATTTTAATAAGCCCAGCAAAAAACGGGAATCAGGAACTACTGAGCCAATCTGCACAAAACAGCAATTGTTGCAAAGGGAATTGAACAAGGTATCCAGATCTGCAATCACACAAGATTGGTGCATATCTTAGCACCTTCAGCTTGAAATTGCGGATCACTTGACCTGAACATTTTTTTTTCATAAAATGTCATCTCGCACATCTTCTCTAAAACATCAAAATGTGTTTAGCAGCAATAAGGAGTCAAAGTCTACCTTCCTTAAATATTCATTGAATATCCATTGCAATCTGAGGGTATGAATACTGTGATTCCTTATTGCTGCCAAACCCCCCAAAATTACATCTCTTAAACTTGTATATGTTTTGGAGAACATGTGAGAGATTGGCCCTATCTTGACCCTATCAATATTTTTTGACTTTTAGCGGACTTTTTCCTCTAAGGTGAGGGTTGAAACGGTGCAGTAAATTCCATTGGAGGTGAAGCTGGGTAATCTTGGAAAGATATCACATTCAAGCAAAAATGTTTCATTTATTTCAAAGTATAACTTTATCAATTATTATTGAACTATTATTTCATTAAGAGCTTTGATGCTCCCGGATGAAGTTGACTGTAAAACTGACTCATAAAGCAAAAAAGAATGAAATATTGTATATCTAAACACCAAAAATTTTTCACCAATCAATAATGTACGTCCATTAACGAAACGCTAACATAAGCTAATGGACATTAGCATAAATGTTTGAATTATAAACCTCCAAACAACTACTTGAACTCAAGTCAAGAAGCTGAATCAATATTTTGACTTTTGTCTTTTTTTTTTTAATAGAGAGTCTTAAGTATCCTTCCTTCCAGAACGCAGTGTGAATATTTTTTTGCCACCTGTGTTTTTAAAAATTGTTTAGGAGGACATGGCCGCTCACGCAATCTGAGGGTATGAATACTGTGATTCCTTATTGCTGCCAAACCCCCCAAAATTACATCTCTTAAACTTGTATATGTTTTGGAGAACATGTGAGAGATTGGCCCTATCTTGACCCTATCAATATTTTTTGACTTTTAGCGGACTTTTTCCTCTAAGGTGAGGGTTGAAACGGTGCAGTAAATTCCATTGGAGGTGAAGCTGGGTAATCTTGGAAAGATATCACATTCAAGCAAAAATGTTTCATTTATTTCAAAGTATAACTTTATCAATTATTATTGAACTATTATTTCATTAAGAGCTTTGATGCTCCCGGATGAAGTTGACTGTAAAACTGACTCATAAAGCAAAAAAGAATGAAATATTGTATATCTAAACACCAAAAATTTTTCACCAATCAATAATGTACGTCCATTAACGAAACGCTAACATAAGCTAATGGACATTAGCATAAATGTTTGAATTATAAACCTCCAAACAACTACTTGAACTCAAGTCAAGAAGCTGAATCAATATTTTGACTTTTGTCTTTTTTTTTTTAATAGAGAGTCTTAAGTATCCTTCCTTCCAGAACGCAGTGTGAATATTTTTTGCCACCTGTGTTTTTTAAAAATTGTTTAGGAGGACATGGCCGCTCACGTCGGAGCCGGCCGCACACCCCAGGAAGTCATGGACCACTACGTGACCATGTACATCCACGGCAACCTGGGAAAGGCCTGCATCCCAGACAGCATTCCCAACCGGGTGACGGACCACACGTGCCCCGGCGGGGGGGCACTGTCGCCCAGCCTCACCGTCCCGCTCCCGCCTCTGGACATCAGCCTGGCCGAGCAGCAGCAGCTGGGCTACATGCCGCTGCGCGACGACTATGAGATCGAATACGACCAGGACGCCGAGAAGCTCATCAGCGGCCTCTCGGTCAACTACGACGACGAGGACGTGGAGATCGAGATGAAGCGCGCCCACGTGGACATGTACGTGCGCAAACTGCGTGAACGGCAGCGGCGGAAGAACATCGCTCGAGATTACAGCCTCGTGCCCGTTTTCCTGGGCCGGGACAAGAAAGAGATGCGGGACAGGGATAAGTCGCCGGGAGTCGTGGGCGGCGCGGTTGGAGCGGGAGTCGGCGCAATGACGCCGGGTTCGGCGACGGGAGCGGGAACGTGCCCGCCGATTCCCACCACGCCGAAAAGGAAGATCATCAAGGAGGAGAAGGAGCAACGGGTGCGCCTGCGGGGGCTCTGCCAGTTCATGGCCCACCGAGAAGTCGAGGAGCTCTTTGAGAATATGCACAAAGAGCGCGTGCTCAGGGCCAAAGTGAGGGAACTGCAGCGCTGCCGCCGCAACGGCATCGCTCGCCTGGATGAGGCGGCCGAATACGAGGCGGCCCGTCACAAACGGGAGAAACGCAAGGAGAATAAGAGCGTGGTCGTCTCCAAGCGCGGCGGCGGAGGGCTCGGCACCGGCACGGCACCGGGCGTAGGAGTGGGTGGAGGCGTGGTCGGCGGGCTCGGGGCGGGCTGCGCCGTCAAGGAGGAAGCCAAAGAGGGCGAGTTCGCCGCCATCGAGAACCTGACCGGCTTTGAGCTGCTGTCGGACCGTGAGAAGGTGCTGTGTAACTCCCTCAACCTGAGCCCGGCGCGCTACCTGACAGTCAAAACCATCATCATCAAGGACCACCTGCAGAAGAGGCAGGGCGTCCCCTCCAAGAGCCGGCTACCCAGCTACCTGGACAAAGTCCTCAGGAAACGTATCGTCACCTTCCTCACTGAAAGCGGCTGGATATCCAGGGACGCTGTTTAGACCCGAGACAGGGAAAGACCAAACTACTGACTCGCACCGTCATGGTGACATTGTGAATGTGTACAGCGGCAGCCCTCGCTGGCCAAGAAATACAGTGAACCATCCCTCGTTGGTCACGAGGTTTGCGTTCCAGCCGCACTCACGAAAAATCGGAATACGTTTCATCAAAATATTGACACTTCTTCCCCCCAGTTTTACGCTGCTAAGAAACGGGAGAATCTCATATAACCACTTACAGTCAAAGGAAAAGATGAGCCCGTGGGCACTGTGATGTCAGTTTCAGTTGACAGTAGGTGGCAGTAGAGCACAAAATGGTCCCCAGTGATGGATAGAACCAGGATTTGTCTTATTTTATTTTTTTGCTGCTTTATTCATATTCCACAAACACAGTATTAATACAAATACCGTGTTTTGACGAGTGGGGGCACATCGAACATAAAAATATTTGAGAATACAGTGAAACAATGTGTTCTGGAACTACCTGCAATAGAGGAGAATCAAAATTATATTTATATGACTTAAAAAAAACATATTTAGTTAACTCATTAAAATCCACTTGTATTACATTGCAAACGGTCAGCAGTAAGTCAGATTTTGACCACCAAAAAAAAAGCCCTAAACATCTCCTCAGGTTGCTGGCCACCTCCACTAAAATCGGAACAGAGCATTCAGTTGTTCCCCTGAAATGAAATGACTCATAAGTATAATTAGGATTTGCTTCAATCTTTCCTGTTTTCTGAAAAAAAAAATGACCAAGGTCAGTATTTTAGGAGATTTACAGTATGTAAACACCAAAATGTTCAACCAAACCATAGACTGTAATAAATAGTCCACTAGCTTAATGCTAATATATAATGTGAAACCCCATAGGCAGGCTGATGAAATTTGCATGGATGATTACAGTCATTGTAAAAGTAAAACTGAATAAGGGCCTGACCGATAAGAATTTAGCTCAGTGTACATTCCAATATTTGACAGAACAGAATTCTGTTAATGGATTATTATTGGCCGATTAATAAAAAAAAATGAATATAATAATTTCCTTTTGGGTGCCTTAAGGCAGGCTTACAATATTAACGATATGAATTGCAGGTAGAAAATGTCACTGCTTTACAATACTTTGGCCTTTCGTGTTTGATTAATTTTACAACAAACATCACATTTTTTTTTCCTGGTCAGTGAATATTTGTCTTATGTTGTCATGTGTTCATGGATGAAAAAAAGAATTCGGCCTATTTTAATTGGGTTGATCAATTGCTCGGGCCCTAATTGGGACTCATGCACAGGGACCTCCTCTGCATCTTCTTATTGCTCTTAAGTTGCATTTCATCCAGTCAAGCTCAGTGCTACCTTGGAATGTTGCGGCACAAAGCGGTACTACGCCGACAGCTCGCAATTCCAAATTAGGATTTGCAGGCATTATGCCAAAACGGAAAGCGATTCAGATAATTGGGTCATGTAAAAACACCCGATACAGTGTGGGTTTACTGTATTTGCATATCAGGACTAAGGACAAAAGAGCCATGTTTTGCTGTTTGCAAAGGGCAGGAAATTGTTAGTATTTTGGGTCTGTTGACAGGGTTGGAAAATTCCCAGAATTTTTACCAGTCATGAGTAAATGAAAACAATTGAGGATTATGAAGTGAAACACTTCTCAGATGTTTTGCCTGATGGTATTTTCTTCCTGTCCTGCAAAAGTAGTCTGACCCTTTGTAAATGATGTATAAATGGAAAAAGGTGAAATACTGGTGACCTGTACAGTATTTTCCATCCTGGAATTATTTTTTGTAATAGCTTTTGTAAGTAAAAAAAAAAAAGATTTTTGTATTGCACAGATGAAGCTGCGGGCTTTGCTCTCTTGGTATGTATGGACATGTATTAAAACATGGAAACTTCAACATGAAGGACTGTTAAACTTGTTTGATTGAATGGATGACTGGAAATGCCATCTGTCCTAGCCTCCCCACCAAAAAGTTTTTCACTTTTTTTTTTTAATAAGCGAACTCAGCACTTTCTAATCTTGTACTTCTTATAAAAATGGTAATGACCTAATTAAATATCATGTAAAGTACACAGGTTGTGCATCATGACTTAATGCTTCAATTTAATTCGGTGTGCTGCTCCTGTTGTGCCCAACTTGGCCACAAGGGGCAGTGGAACAGTCACACAAATGCTACCTTCAATGACTAAACTGCATTCGTTTTTTTGGGGGTGGGAGGGGGGTGGGGGAGATAAAGAATGTACGTGTGTTGAGTGTTGTGATGTCTGTTCAAATGTGTTTTTCACCATTTGTCTTATATCTGTTGCAATTAGGTCATCAATGCTAATTGTTAGCACACGGATGGATTTTCCATTTATGTTAGCATTAAGCTAGCAAGGGCATCTCGAAGGCAAAGTTGCTCGAAAAATACACACCTCGCAATTGTGCTTTCTCTTTCATTTTCACTTCAGGTGGTATTTCAAATAGTTTTTATTGTCACCAATAAATTTGGAAGATGTTGAAACGAAAACCCCTTTGTGACAATTATGCCAAAACGGAAAGCGATTCAGATAATTGGGTCATGTAAAAACACCCGATACAGTGTGGGTTTACTGTATTTGCATATCAGGACTAAGGACAAAAGAGCCATGTTTTGCTGTTTGCAAAGGGCAGGAAATTGTTAGTATTTTGGGTCTGTTGACAGGGTTGGAAAATTCCCAGAATTTTTACCAGTCATGAGTAAATGAAAACAATTGAGGATTATGAAGTGAAACACTTCTCAGATGTTTTGCCTGATGGTATTTTCTTCCTGTCCTGCAAAAGTAGTCTGACCCTTTGTAAATGATGTATAAATGGAAAAAGGTGAAATACTGGTGACCTGTACAGTATTTTCCATCCTGGAATTATTTTTTGTAATAGCTTTTGTAAGTAAAAAAAAAAAAGATTTTTGTATTGCACAGATGAAGCTGCGGGCTTTGCTCTCTTGGTATGTATGGACATGTATTAAAACATGGAAACTTCAACATGAAGGACTGTTAAACTTGTTTGATTGAATGGATGACTGGAAATGCCATCTGTCCTAGCCTCCCCACCAAAAAGTTTTTCACTTTTTTTTTTTTAATAAGCGAACTCAGCACTTTCTAATCTTGTACTTCTTATAAAAATGGTAATGACCTAATTAAATATCATGTAAAGTACACAGGTTGTGCATCATGACTTAATGCTTCAATTTAATTCGGTGTGCTGCTCCTGTTGTGCCCAACTTGGCCACAAGGGGCAGTGGAACAGTCACACAAATGCTACCTTCAATGACTAAACTGCATTCGTTTTTTTGGGGGTGGGAGGGGGGTGGGGGAGATAAAGAATGTACGTGTGTTGAGTGTTGTGATGTCTGTTCAAATGTGTTTTTCACCATTTGTCTTATATCTGTTGCAATTAGGTCATCAATGCTAATTGTTAGCACACGGATGGATTTTCCATTTATGTTAGCATTAAGCTAGCAAGGGCATCTCGAAGGCAAAGTTGCTCGAAAAATACACACCTCGCAATTGTGCTTTCTCTTTCATTTTCACTTCAGGTGGTATTTCAAATAGTTTTTTTTTATTGTCACCAATAAATTTGGAAGATGTTGAAACGAAAACCCCTTTGTGACAAGTAAAACTGTTTGCAAATGTCTTTGCCACTTAATGTAACCTTCAACAAACCCTGACGAAAAAAAGCAGTCACTATGTTTTGCAAATACTCGCAAGCATTCGCCGCTCAGTGGGATACCTTTTATTATGATTTTATTCATATTTTTGTGGCTGGTGACACCTGCGTTCTAATTGGTCCTGCCAACGCATGAATAAATTCCAAGAAGGGACTGAGGGCAAAGTCGGGGTCAGTTTATTGTGACGTTCAGTCCAGTGAGGGTAAGCACGCCAAATGTCCACGTGGTCCTCTGCTTTCTTAGGAGGCTTTGGCCACGCCGACCAACGCCGGCCTAAGGGTGCGCCCGTGAAGCTTGTAGCCCACTTTGGTTACCGCAGTGACGGTGCCGGGCTCCTTCCCCTCAGCGGGGGCGTGGAAGAGTGCCTCGTGCTCGTACGGGTCAAACTTGAGGCCGTACGGGTTAAGCTTGACCAGGCTATGTTTGGCGAACACCTTCTGGATCTGGACCTCCGTCATCACCAGTCCGTCGTAGAGGTTCTTCAAGTGAGGGTTCTGGCTCGTCACTTCCCCCTCGGGCACGCTTTCCTTGGCCTTTTCCAAAATGTCGGCCACCTCTAGCAGGTCCTCGCAGAAGCCCTGGATACCTGGTGGTGCAATAATTAGAGATTGATGACGCGCACAATTTAACATTAAATACAAAACATGACATCTTTATTTATAGAGCGCTTTCACAAGAGCTACATTTGGAGCTGCGTTTACCGTATAATTTAGCTTCCTGAATCATCCTCTGACTTCTTGTACGCAGGTTCTCCGTGTCCGCCAAGGCTCGCTTGTATTTGTCCTGTGGAGTGACAAAGGTAAGGCAAGGTTTTTCTGGGCCGACGGTTATGCCGGAAGGTGTGCAACTTACAGTCATCTCCTTGAGCTGGTCCTCCAGCTGCGTCTTCTCGGCCTGGAATTTCTCTGCCGCGCTCTGTTCAGCAGATGCCTCCTCTGAACCGTGTCCATTCTTCTGCTGGGTGGCTGTGCATAACCGCCGTGGTGATAATCTGGGGATACAAAATGAAATACCAGACATGTTGGTTCATTGCAGATGATGTATTGCGCCGTTATAGAAATTGTTAACATAAATAAATGTGCTGTGTTATGTTTTTTTTTTAAATGCACTTTCAAAACAATATTACAACAGTGTTTATTACTGGAAGTCAACCAGTTGACGTACTTATGCGTCGGGCAATGACGTCTTTACCGGCGCGCCCGAGAAGTGTTCCTTCGACGAACCTATATAACTACACAGGCCAAATTTATTTATTTTTATTCCAACTTTAACTTCACCAATTGAGCTAATACACGGTTCTCCTACATATATAACAACAGCATGTTGCTCCCAGTGTGCACAATTATGTCATCATGCTCTCTCGCGATGCTAACGTTCAGACGCTATTCACGCACCGAACACATCGACATCGTTTTAAAGTCAAATAGAAATGTTGCTAACCTTACAACGTTGCGCAAAGCTCCGAGCGAGAGGCTCCGTATGCACAAATTCGCCATTTTCCTACTTAATTGGGCAAACGAGAAGGCTCCTTGGAACACACGCTTGACAGGACACCAGAAACTGATGGCCGCGGTGGTCGGCGCTAACCATTCGGGTGAGAGAAGAGGCGGGACGTATGTTTTCTGACCAATCGTACTTGGAAAAGGTTATGTCAAACAGGATGTAGTTTGGTTGCGCGAGGGCAAACGTGAAACCCAACACACGTGATCAAGGACAGTTAAACAATGGACGCAGGTTAGTTGTGGGTGCAAATTATGTCATGAAATAACCAATATTGGTATTAAATTCTTAATTCAGTCACAAACAGCGCCTACTCTTGACATTGTCATATTTTTACCTACAAAGGATGCAAAATAATTGCGAAAGCACACTATATATGAGTATAAGTGCAATAGTTCACTGGTAAATATAACAATGACGGATTCGACTGCTTATTTACAAGTTCCCCAAAAAAGTACACAAGTACGAAAGAGCACGAAGTAATTCCTGTCCATTACATACAATACTCAATCAAATTAAAATAAATTTTGTTTTAAAACCAAGAGCTAGGATAAAAAAAAATATATCTTCTTTGTCCGTCCCCCTATCACTGCGGTCAAGCCAGCACGCACTCGCAAAATCG